AATAGATTCATAGTTTATTACATATACAGACACGAGGACAGCATTGGGTCAGCTCCTCATGTCCCTAGTCCCACGGGATGAGACCAAATCAGAGGGGATCAGATGATAGGTGCCACGGGCACTTTGCCGCTGAGGAGAAAACTCCAAACCAAAGCCAAGCAGTTTTATAGTCTGCAGCCATATCCTTCAGGGTATTGAAAGTCCTGTGCTTAACTGAGATGAAGGAGGATAGTGAGAAATGGCCTTGGCACTATCCCTCAAGATGGGGGTGGGTGGGCGGGCCTCAAGGCAGTTCCTCAGAAGTCAGCTTATCTCCCGTAGTTTCTGAAGGAATCATGGGGCATTCAACCAAAACTTGGGTCAGACTGTGGTTAAGCTTTGCCTACATGGCCTGTGTGAAGACATGTGTGTCACCAGGGTGAACCTGTTTTCCCTATATTCATGAAATATGGCTGAGTTCACACATTTTTGTAGCTCCATGGACAAGAAGGACCAGGAGGGAGGAAGTAAAGAGCCTAAAAAGAAAGAGCTTAAAAAGAAATAGTGCTTATTGGGCTTCCCTGGTGGCGCAGTGGTTGAGAGTCCGCCTGCCAATGCAGGGGACACGGGTTCGTGCCCCGGTCCGGGAAGATCCCACATGCCGCGGAGCGGCTGGGCCCGTGAGCCATGGCCGCTGAGCCTGCGCGTCTGGAGCCTGTGCTCCACAACGGGAGAGGCCACAACAGTGAGAGGCCCGCGTACCGGAAAAAAAAAAAAGAAAGAAAGAAATAGTGCTTATTGACACACTAACTGCAAGGGACAGGAATTTGGAGAAGGATTTGTGCAATTCATTGCAAGAAGGCTCCAGCATTCTACATTGCCCCTTGGTGCGGGTCAGGAAGAAAGTAGCTTTGGCTAGAAAGGGGATGGAAGTCAGATACCCAAACATTAGCCTAACATAGCCCCTCTGCTTGTTCCTTGAAGGTCTTCTACTTCAGCATGACGCTGCCCCCAAAAATGAAGCTACTACTGTTCCTGGCTTCCCAGACGGCTGTCTTTGCTCTATTCATCCTTCTATACTCCCACAACTTCAACTCCCTGCAGATGAAGGAAGAACCCCAGCCCGCGTACATGCATGTGCTCATCCTGTCTTCGTGGCGCTCTGGCTCTTCTTTCGTAGGGCAGCTTTTTGGGCAGCACCCAGATGTCTTCTACCTGATGGAGCCTGCCTGGCACGTCTGGATGACCTTCACACAAAGTACTGCCCAGAGGTTGCATATGGCAGTGCGGGATCTCATACGGGCCGTCTTTCTGTGTGACATGAGCGTCTTTGATGCCTACATGAAACCTGGCCCCCGAAAACAGTCCAGCCTCTTCCAGTGGGAAGGCAGCCGGGCCCTGTGTTCTCCACCTGCCTGCAACATCTTCCCGCGAGATAACATCATACCCCAGGCTCACTGTAGGCTTCTGTGCAATCAAGAGCCCTTTGAGGTGGTGGAGAAGGCCTGCCGCACTTACAGCCACGTGGTGCTCAAGGAGGTACGTTTCTTCAAACTGCAGGTGCTCTACCCGCTGCTGAGAGACCCTTCCCTCAATCTGCACATTGTGCACCTGGTCCGGGACCCCCGGGCGGTGTTCCGCTCCCGAGAACACACCGCGAAGGAACTCATGATTGACAGCCACATTGTGATGGGGCAGCATCTGCAGAAACTCAAAAAGGAGGAGCAACCCTACTACGCAATGCAAGTCATCTGCCAAAGCCAGCTGGAGATCTACAAGGCTGTGCAGTCCTTGCCCAAAGCCCTGAGGCAGCGCTACTTGCTCGTGCGCTATGAGGACTTGGTCCGGGACCCCCTGGCCCAGACTGCCCGAATGTATGAATACGCAGGGTTGAAATTCTTGCCCCAGCTCCAGACCTGGGTGCACAACATCACTCGAGGCAAGGGCATGGGTGAGCATGCCTTCCACACAAATGCCAGGAATGCCCTCAATGTCTCTCAGGCCTGGCGCTGGTCCTTGCCTTATGAAAAGGTTTCTCGGCTTCAGAAAGTCTGCAGGAATACCATGAATTTGCTGGGCTACCACCTTGTCACATCTCAGCAAGAGCAGAAAAACCTGTCACTGAATCTTCTGTCTACCTGGAGCCCCGCTGAGCAAGTCTACCAAGAGGGTTGAGGAGGCTCTGTCTCCACCTGGCACCCGCTTCAGCCACGTTAACTGATGGCAGCTTCTGAGCCTCGACCGTGTGTGTCAGCGTACGTGTGAGCATGAGTTGTGCCCAAACATGTTCAAGTCAAGAAATCTTTGTGTCTCTGCTCATATCTAGAGAAGAGGCTTAGGAACCTTATGTGAGGGGCACGATCCAGCAACAAAACAGAAGTAATGTCTTTATTCTCTTCTTGGCCTTCTTACCTATGTATACCTCAGAGACTTTGTGGCCTGGGTCCTATGTGGCACCATGCAGTATCACTGGAGTAAATCCATAAACTCTTCTGTCCACATCTTGCCCGGCGGGAAAGGAGAGACACAGGAAAAAACAGGGAAATAGGTCTCCCACCAAACAGTCCACCAGCACATTCAACAGGGATGTGAACTCTGAGCCCTCAGAGAATGGGCAACAGGGTTGGATGCTTACCTGTGAGCTTGGCCATCACAGCTATCCATTACCACAAATATGGAACAAAATCTCTGCACAACAGAGGAAGCTTTTTTTTTTTTTTTGCAGTATGCGGGCCTCTCACTGTTGTGGCCTCTCCCGTTGCGGAGCACAGGCTCCGGATGCGCAGGCTCAGCGGCCATGGCTCATGGGCCCAGCCGCTCTGCGGCATGTGGGATCTTCCCGGACTGGGGCATGAACCCGTGTCCCCTGCATCGGCAGGCGGACCCTCAACCACTGCGCCACCAGGGAAGCCCCCAGAGGAAGCCTCTAAGTTCACGGGATGGCTGGGCCCAATTTGGACATCTGTTCCCCTCAGTGTTTTCCTATTTTAACCTGTGAAGCTGCCATCTGTTAACACTAAAATTCCAAAATAAGATTCTGTTTGGAGTGTACCTTTTTATGCTTTCTAATTACTTAGTAGTAAATGCTCATTCTTATGGGATCCTAACTAAGAGCCTAAACATCTTTACAGATTTTTTTGACTGGAATATTTTAATTTTTAAAAAGTTTTTATTGAAATATAGTTGATTCACAATGTTGTGTTGGTTTCAGGTGTATTGCAAAGTGATTCAGTTATACATATATATATAAATATATATATTCTCATCTTTTATTATTATCTATCACCCACACATAGAAAAACATGTTAAGACAGTGTTTGGTTCAGATGATGGACTAAGGTCTGAACTGATCAATACTGATCCTCTTAAGAGTTTGTAGAAAGTAGACAGCTAGCAGCTAAGCCCTTTCTTGTGTGCAGCGTAAGCTATAGTAATACCAGGTGGATCACTCTAGGTTCTGGAGTTCTTTTAATCTCATACCTCAGCCAGAGGACCTCGGTTATAATACGATTGGTGCTCTTCAGCTCTTCCTGGTCACCTCCCCTAACAAGAAAAGTTGTTTCCCCCAATCTTTGCAGGATTCCCCAGATCTAGTTTGTGTATCAGAATCACCTGTGAAAGATGTGTTTTGCCATGCCCTACCTCAGATCTGCTGGAAATGGAATCTCCCAGGAGAGGCTGGGATTCTGTATGTTTATCAGCTGACTCTGTGTAACTCTTCCACAGCCAGCCTGATGATGGTACACCCTGCCCTGGGCAACAGCACTCTCTGCCTTCTTGTTCCAAGACAGGTGACTTTTCAGCACACGCCAAGTATCTAAGCGCTTCCTCCTCACACAGGTGCTGTCCTCAGGTTGGAAGGAATAGGAAGGTCTCTGTATGTCTGGAACTGCGTGAACCTCTGGGTCCTGACTTTTGAAACATTTCACTTTATTCAATTCTGAGAGATACCATTATTTCATCTTTCCTTTTGTTCCCACGCCCACTTTTGACATGGTCCTCGCTTCACAAAGCTCCCTTGATGGCAGATGGGAATTCTCCCACTCCATTCCACCGAGTAGCTCTTGGGCTGCACCACCACCTGAGATGCTTGAGTAGGCACCTTTGCCAACTGGGTCTTTGATGTTAATTTATATGGGCTTTAAAGGAGTGAATTTATCCTAATACCTAAACCCAAGCCACTCTAGACCCTCCTCGAGAGCCTAGAATCTCCCAGGTAAATGCTTCTTGCCTCTCCAAACCTTCCAAAACTATGAAAATTTCCCCAACGTTGAAAATAAGGCCAGGGCAGTAGGTGAGGGTGCAAACAGAGTGAAGAGGGCCAGTGAGGGGGAGAGACAGTGATAGACTTGACCATCTCTGATTTCCCCTCTGACATTTCAGCCTCTACCTGAATTGTCTTAAAGTTAGCAACCTCCTTAGGAACCATCTCTGTGGGATGCTGGAGTACAGAGCTGCTTGCTTTTCCATCTCCAAATGAGTCATCCGTCCCAAGACAAGGAAAGAGACTAGCCACATGGAAATCTCAGGATCTTATTTAAGATTTACTTTAAAACAGCTTTAAATTTCCTATATTCCAAGTCCTAAGTCAGATGAGGTCCAGACAGCTAGTAGCCATCCTCTTGAAAGACAGCCTATACACTACCCTATATAGGAGCCACTGGCAGCTGTTTAGATTTAAATAAGTTAAAATTAAAATAAAATTCAGTTCTTCAGTTGCACTAGCTATCTTTCAAGTACTCAATAGCAACGTGTGGCTAGTGGCTACTGTACCAGACAGCACAGATATAAATCATTTCCATCACTGCAAAAGTTCTATTGGACAGTTCTGGTCTAAATTAATTTCTATTTGTTTGTAGCATCTTATCCTTAACCTCAAATTGCACCCTGCCCAAAAATGTTTAGAGAATATATAACAATACTATAATGGCACTTTTATATAACATAAAACTGTGCAGTATAAAATCATGCTACATAACCTCTAAAACTCTGGCCTAGTCACGCTTCCTTAGGCAGCAGCCATGGTGGGACAAGAGGATCCAGTGCAGCGCAAGGTTCACCAGGACGGGGCGAGCTGGGAGTACATTGAGGTCATCACCAGCAGCAGCAAGAAAATTGCAGACTTTCTCCACTCAGGACTCGCAACACTAAACGAGAAACTGACAGCTCTTGAACAAAGAATAGAGTACACTGAATGAAGCGAGGGTGACAAGCGGTGAGACCCTCACCTATAATTGTGCCATGCTGCTGCTAGGAAGTTGCTTTTGCAGAACAAAAAGGCCTCGTGGGAAAGGCCCCAGCAGTCTTCAGTTCCTTCCTCTCTCCTTAAAGAACAACAGGGCTTATTCTTGTCTTTCTTTATTTCAAAACTGTGACCTTTGGGCTCTGCCATGTACACCCAGCAGTGTGATGTGGCGTGTGGGGAGGAGTCCAGGGGAACTCTCAGAAACAACACTAGGCACTTTACCTCTTCAGTAACACTTTGTACAACTACTTGTCAACACATTTGAGGCACTAAGAGCCAAAAGCCTGAGACTCTGTCCAGGTCCTCCCCACCTTTCTCTCTCTCTCTCTCTCTCTCTCTCTCTCAGCCTTTCCTTACAGCTCTCATTGCCTCTGCATTGCTTCTATAAATAGTCTGTCTCCTCCCCAACTTTGGCCGGGGGTGGGAAGCATTCCTGGCTGAGGAGCCCTGGTGAGGTGGCTGCCAGAGAATGTTGTTGCTAACCCATCAGTTTCTTGTCCTTTTGGGAAGGTCAAGGCCAGGCCTCCACTTGGCTTGAAAAGGGACATTTTCAGAGTTTTCTTTCTGTCACTTGAAGTGTCTTAACCTTTCATATTTCCCTAATAAACTCCTCAACTTTAAAATAAATAGATAAATAAATAAAACTCTGACCCAGTGCTGAGCGAGATTTAGAGAGCAAAGGAACATCTCCTATTGAAGCGCTCAGGCGGCTGGCACCAGAGTTCAGGGATGCGAGCGGCAGTACACTCAGTTATGAAACATGGGGAATTCGGGGAGCTGAGAACCCATGATGGGTATAGAGGACTGTGCTCTGCAAAACAGCCTTTCCACTTTGGAGGTATCTGTTCCAGCCCCCAACCCCCAAATAGGCAGGCGTTTGTTTGCCTCCCAAGCCTATTGAGCTGCATGAGATCTAAGGATGAGTTTGAACATAGATGAGGGATGAATTTGATCTAAATTTCTCAGGGCTAGTAATTAGGTTTGGGGAATGAGCTCTTTCATGTCTAGAGAAAACATAATGGCCTGAAATGCCTAATTGGGGGCTTCTCCAGTGGCGCAGTGGTTGGGAATCTGCCTGCCAATGCAGGGGACATGGGTTCTAGCCCTGGTCCGGGAAGATCCCACATGCCACAGAGCAACTAAGCCTGTGCGCCACAACGACTGAGCACGTGCTCTAGAGCCCGCGAGCCACCACTACTGAGCCTGTGTGCCACAACTACTGAAGCCCACGCGCCTAGAGCCGGTGCTCTGCAACAAGAGAAGCCACCATGATGAGAAGCCTGCGCACCGCAATGAAGAGTAGCCCCTGCTCGCCACAACTAGAGAAAGCCCGTGCACAGCAACGAAGACCCAACGCAGCCAAAAATAAATTAATTAAAATAAATTAAAAAAGAATGTGGGCTCTAGAACTGGGTTGCCTGGGTGACTTTGCTATCACCAGTTGGGTGACCTCAGCAAGTCCCTTAACATCTCATGTCTCGGTTCCCTTACCTGTAGGGTGGGTAGAATAATAGTAGTATCAACTCCTTGGAGTTGCCAGGAGAACTAATGAGTTAATACACGGAACATGCTTGGAAAGCATCTGCTGCTCACTATTGTTAGCTGTGAATATCTTGGTAACAACACTAGTCTCGGCTCTCAAGGACTGTCTTCCATAATTTCTGGTAACATCCTTATTAAGGTGATGTTTAACAGCAGATCACAAACCCTTTATGGCATTTCTGATCATAATGATACCATTAGGAGATTGATAATTTTCCGATATTCTAGTTTCTCAATATCTGTAGTTCTCAACCAGAGGTGACTTTGCCCCCCAGTGGACATTTGGCAACGCCTAGAGACATTTTTGGTTGTCACACTTTGGGAGGGGGGTGTTTCTGGAATCTACTGGGGAGGGGCCTAAAGTGCTGCTAAACCTACAATGTACAGGAAAGCCCTCCCTTAACTAATATATGATTAGTATATAAAGGACAAAGAGCTAATGACTCAAATAAATTTCTCTTCCATCTTCATTCAATTACATTCAATCTCACTCAAATGAGATTGAAAGCGTCTTGACTGGGGAGATGTCATAACCTGGGCTCTTTTGATACCCACTCAAGTCATCTGAAAGGGAGAAGTGGAGGAGACATTATACCAATACAGCACCACGGAAGTCTGATGAGAGGAAGTGAGTGCAGCCAGGCTTCCCGGTCACTCACTGGCCAATCTATGCCTTAACCGGTCTTTGCTTGCGTGCACCCTAATTCAGTTAGCTGTAGCTTGAAGAGAAGAGTTTAAAGGGGCAAAACATGGTCATTTAGGGCCTTGGGGAAGATGGGCAGACAAATGAAGCCATGAGCAGACACTGGGCTAGACAAATGAGTTGTCTAACATGTCTGAGAACAGAAGAATCATTGACAAACGTCAAAAAGTTCCATGGGCACCACAGAGTTTACATCACAGTTCCTCAACCTTTTTTTTATTATCACCCCCTCACCCTCAACAAGCTTTTTTAGACATTTTTTCCCTAATTGCACCTCTGCCATGAAATGTTAATACCGCAAATACACTGCATGTCTGTTTTTGTATGGTGGCCATTTGGAGGGTCACAAACCACCATAATATCTACTCTTTTTTTTTGGCCTCCCCCAAACTGCTTTTCACCCCCTTGGTAATTTTCACCTCCATTGGGAATGCATGCTTTAGACTACTGTCCCCAGTATTTTTTAAACTCCTTTCCCACCCAGCTCCTATCTTTTTTTTCCTCAACATGTCTTTTCATTTGTCATCTCCCCAAATTATGTTCCTTGCTCTCACCAATGATAGCTGTACCCTGCTCATCAATAATTGAATGTGATTATGTAAAATAACACATATAAGTGTAATCTGTAAACTGTAAAGACCGTGAAAACGCTGGTTATTATTAGTAGTAAAATAATAATACAAGTAATTCTTGACTGCTGTCCTCCCCGCCAGCCCTAATCCTAACCATTTGGCATGGTCCAGCTTTCCTTGCCAATTTTCACACTGGCTTCTTATGATCCTGGATGAAAAATAAGGAAGCTAGTTTATGCTTTGTTTGTTTTTTAAATTTATGACAAGAGTTGGTAACAAATGGAATAGGCACGTAAAATAGGTTCATAAAGAATGAGGTACGTTTCAGAAAAAGTTAGCCATTGCTCTACCCTAAATCAATGTGGACTTAAATGACTAACTGCCTATAATTTAAACATGCTGAATGAAAAGAAATAAAGGCTCCTATTATTTTATGTAGTGGTAAGGCGAATGATTATCTGATCCATCATGAACCAAACTATGAGACCTTAGCAGATGCAACACACACACACACACAGGCCATTCTAGACGCAAATAAGCTTTAAAAAGTTGACTACACTAAATTTAACTGGGTTTTCAAATGTGAGACCCTCAGAACTTCAAATATGTTTGTGTGCATATTAAGAAGGGATTAGAGTATATAGCAGCTCTCCCAAACTTCTTTGACCAAGGATGTTTTCATCCTGTGAACATCTGTCAGTAGAATGTTTAGAGGAAGCGCAGTTGGAGAAACGCTGAATTATCTTCGGCACTCATAACCCTGGACGTTCCCAGCACTCTGCCTTCTCCTTGCCTTCTCCCAAGCCCAAGCAGGCAAATTACGAATGGAGAAAATCACATGAGGGCAGCTTGGTTCACAGGCAGTTATAATCACCTCCATCAATTTATGATCACTTCAACACTCACCTGCAACCCCTTCCCCCTCTCCATAAGGACTTGCAGGTTTAGAAAGCCTTTCAAGATCCGTCCCTTGCATCCTTCTCTAATAACTCCCTCTTAGACTCCACTTCCTCCATCTCAAATGTGAAGTTCTACCAATGTACCATGTCTGGATCTTAGATCATGCTGCTTCTCCCACCTGGAATACCCTGTTCTGTCCCACCTTCAACTTCTCTGGCTCATTTTTTTGATCCCTCAGTTCTCAACTAAAACATACCCTCTGGAAGTTTTTCCTGGCTTGATCCTTAAGCCTCTGTTGAATGCCACTTTTTTTTTTTTTTTTTTTTTTTCTTTGCGTTGCGCAGGCCTCTCACTGCTGTGGCCTCTCCCGTTGCGGAGCTACAGGCTCCGGACGCGCAGGCTCAGCGGCCATGGCTCACGGGCCCGGCCGTTCCGCGGCATGTGGGATCTTCCCGGACCGGGGCACGAACCCGTGTCCCCTGACATCGGCAGGCGGACTCTCAACCACTGCGCCACCAGGGAAGCCCTTGAATGCCACTTTTACATGCTTTCTATTATAGCATTTATCACACTGTAATAAAACTGCCCAATTTAAGCAGCCGCATAGCACAGGGAGATCAGCTCGGTGCCTTGTGACCACCTAGAGGGGTGGGATAGGGAGGGTGGGAGGGAGGTAGACGCAAGAAGGAAGAGATATGGGAATATATGTATATGTATAACTGATTCACTTTGTTATAAAGCAGAAACTAACACACCATTGTAAAGCAATTATACTCCAATAAAGATGTTAAAAAAAAACTGCCCAATTTATGTGTTCTTTGAGCTCTTTGAGAGCAGAGTCTATCTTATTCACCGTGGTATAACCAATGCCTAGCACAGTTCCTAGCATCTAGTAGGCACACAATAAATATTTGTTTAATAAACAAAAGCTTGATCTCAGCCTCATTATATGTAAAGGGATCAGTCTTTATGTAATACTTTTTAAAAGGCCAATCACAGAAACACAGTGACATATTTAAAGATTCAGATAAGAAATAACCAACATTTAAGTTTCCTGTCTGAGTGAAATAAGGGAAGTTGAATCTTAAAGCCAACAGCTCTGAAGTGCTAGGTCAAGTGGGGTGGCAGGTGGAAGGGTGGATAAAGCAAAGATTCAAAAATTAAGTTGAATTGTATTTCTAATAGTGATACAAGGGCTTCCCTGGTGGCGCAGTGGTTGAGAGTCCGCCTGCCAAT